TGCTCAGGCTGGTTTTGAACTCCTGACCTTGAGCAATCCGCCCGCCTCGGCCTCCCAAGAGCTAGGATTACAGGCGTGAGCCACAGCGCCCGGCCTGACCTTGGTTTCTTAATACTATGTTTCAATAAAAGCCACAGCGCCCGGCCTGACCTTGGTTTCTTAATACTATGTTTCAATAAAAGGAACCAGGGCTCCTTGGTGAAATGGCTGAATCTAAGGCTCAGGCAAGGAAAATAGGAGATGAGCCTGGAGCATCTTGTAGTACCAGAATGCTAAAAATAAGACCTAAAAGACAAACGAACGGGAGCATGTCAAATGGACACAAGGGCAACCCAAAAGTGCTCCAAAGCCAAAACAGCTGGAAAAAAAAATAATATTGGAGCATAATCCAAAGAACAGACTTTTAATCCATGATTCTGTACTAAAATAAGTAAATAAATAATAGAGAAGGGGCAAATCTTCCTTAGAAAAGAATTCCAAGTACTTAACACAGGAGGAATGGAAGCAATGGGAAGTCACCGTTGGAACACCACTGGCTACACTCAAGGTCCACTGATGGATGCTAAAATTAGTGGGCAAAATGTTGAGAAACAAGAATTTTTCATAGCCTCAAAATATGTCCTCAAAAATACTTATTAATTACTGTGGCAATTATAACATATGCTCACAAATTATCTGATACTTCTCATTCTAGAAGGTGGACTTTAATTCTCTTCCTTTTGAGCATGGGCTGGATTTGCAGAAGTGAGTATAACTGACATCTCATGAATAGAGCATGGAAGGAAGAAAACAGTAACTTTACGGTGGAGAAACCTGGCAGACGTCATCTTAACCAAGCGACCACAGTCCACAGCACCAGTAGTGAGCCACAGCGAGCCGATGTACCCTGTCGTAGGGTGGGTGGGAAGGGCGCTTCCCTTTGCATGATCCTCCCCCAAACCTGTTATCCCAGTGTGGCTGTGGGAAAACACCAGACAAACTCATATTAAGGGATACTCTGCAAATACCTGCTCAATACTCTTCAAAAGGGTCAAGGTCATGAAAAAGAGGAAAAGAATGAGGAACTGTCAGAGATCAGAGGAACTACAGAGACATGGGGTTAAGTGCCGCATGAAATCCTGGATTAGGTCCTGCGACAGAGAAAGAGCGTTACTGGAGGAAACAGTGAAATCTGAACAAAGCCTATGGTGCTGTGCACCGGCGCTAACTACTCACTTTTGCTAAGTGTGCCGTGGTTACACGAGACACTACCTTCAGGGGAAGCCGGGGGAAAGGTGCATGGGAACTCTAGGTTACCACCTTAACTCTTTTCAAATCACTTTAACACCAAATGCTTCCAAACATACTGAAAAGAAAACGCCTTACACCTTATGCTGAGTAAAGTGCAATGTCCTTTTCAGTCTCCTGCGAAGCCTGACACTCACCGCCCCTCTGTCCTTGTCCGTCCTTCTCCCACCCGCTGCGGGCGCCAGGCAGCTCAGCGCCCCGCGCGGCCCTCGGCCTCCAGCGGCGCCTGTGAGGGGAGGCCGCTGAGACGGCTGGCGCTGCGCTCGCTCCTCTTACTCGCGGGCTTCACTCAGGTGTCCCCTATCATGAGGCCTTTTCTGCCCAACCCAGACAAAGCCTGCAACGTCCCCTCATGCCCTGTCTCTGGCTTGCTTCTCTGTTGCTCTGCTCAGCATCTGCCATTCAAAATGCTTTCTTTCTTGTATGTTTTCTTATCTCCCTTGCAGAGGAAGGCAGAATGATGGCCTCCAAAGGTGTCCACACGTCCTGATGCCCGGGATCCGTGGCCTTCCGTGGCAGAGGGGGATTGAGGCTGCAGACGGAATCAGGGTTGCTGGTCAGAGCGCGCCGCGCCACGCGGTGAGAGGGCGAGAGCGCGCCGGTGTGCGGTGAGAGGGCGAGAGCGCGCCGCGGTGTGCGGTGAGAGGGCTAGAGCGCGCTGTGCGGTGAGAGGGCAAGAGCGCGCCGCGGTGTGCGGTGAGAGGGCTAGAGCGCGCCACGGTGTGCGGTGAGAGGGCTAGAGCGCGCCGCGGTGTGCGGTGAGAGGGCGAGAGCGCGCCGCGGTGTGAGGGCGAGAGCGCGCCGCGGTGTGCGGTGAGAGGGCGAGAGCGCGCCACGTGTGCGGTGAGAGGGCGAGAGCGCGCCGGGTGTGCGGTGAGAGGGCGAGAGCGTACTGCACTGTGCGGGTGGGCCCAGGACAGCCACAGGGACTGACAAGTGCTCGAGGGAGGGAAGAAACTGGAGTGAGTCCATGTGAGAAAGCCTCCATCTCCCATCCCTGGCTTTGGAGAGGGAAGGAAGCCACGAGCCAGAGGCTGTGGGCAGCCTTGTGATAAAGTTGTGATCATCTGTTACAGCACCGATAGGAAACTATTTCATGTCATGAACAAAATCCCACTGCCGATGTCCGCCTGGCATCTGAGGTCAGATGCGTGTGGGGACTAACATGTAACGCAAGGACTGCTCTAGCATGAAATTCTCCATGTGACTGGCACGTCCGCGAGGCTCTGTGAGCACAGCGTGTCTAGGGTATGTGTGAGCGCATGGGTGAGGGACCATGACTCTTGTCTAACATGTTCCTGTCCTTTTCCCAGAGACCTCACAGGCACCATCCTGGTTCCTGGGTTAAATGCTGGAGTTAGGCCTTTACCATTGCTAGTGTTCAAGATTTAGAATCTTTAGGTGGACTTTGAAGCGGATTCTGAACCCTTTACCTAAGCACGCTGTACCACCCTGTGTGCTCTAGACAGGAAGTAACTCCAGCACACTGGAGTTTTATGTTTAAGACTCACTCTGAGACATTAATGAAATCTTACAAGGAGAATTGATTTACGAAGGCGATGCAAATGCTTCTCTTGTTTGTACTTAGTCCTTGTTAACTAGAGTCAGACCTTTGAGGGATTATAGATTGATGGGTAAATATTCTTGTTTTTATTATGTAAAATAACAGAAGAGCTGGAAGTAATATAACCAAAATATGAGAGAGCTTTATAAGTAAAATAGGAATAATAGATTCTTGCAAGATAATGTCCCTAAGCACTTTAGAAATGTCTAAACTATCCTAGAAATGCTTAGATGAATGGCTCTAAATTCATTTTGGAATGGACTTTGGTTGTTAAATTTCCTTTTCTGAGTAAGTCAGCAAAAGTTTTAACTAGATATAAAATACAAATTGCACATTGAGAGCATCTACCATAAAGTATTCATTGCTATATTTAATGTAGCTACAACCATGTTGTATTAGTAGAAGACTTTGGTTTGCACGTGACCAAAAAACCCTACTCAATCTGGTTTAAAAAATAATGGGCATTTACTGGCTTACATAATCACGAAAGTCTTGAGGTAGGGCAGGCTTCAGCAAAGGTGATCCAAAAGCTTACAACACACCAGGACTGTGCTGGTGCTATCTGTGGTGTTCTCACCTCTACTCCCCAGGGTTTGGTGCCCTTTTCCTTGGACTGGCTTCTCTCACCTCTACCGGCTCCCAGAGAGGTCAGCTTTCTCACATTCGGCAGGCAGGGTCACCCTGGTGCTTTTATTCTAATTGCATGGGAAATTCAAGGTTGATAATAATAGAAGAGAGGTCTACAAACCAAGGCCTGCAGGTCAAATCTAGCTTACTTCCTGTTTTTGTAAATAAAGTTTTATTGGAACACAGTCATGCCCATTCATTTGCATATTATTTATCATTGGTTTTGCATAATGGCAGAGCTGAGTAGCTACGACAAAAACCTTACATTATGCACAGCCTAAAATATTTACTATCTGGCCCTTGACAGAAAAAGTGTGCTGACCTTGTGGTAGATTAATAGGGAATAACTCTTTGAGGTAGCACTCAGCTCAGAGACTGCTCTCTTCTTCACCAAAAGCAGTTAGTTCATCTTGTTATTTCTCCTCTTTCTTTCTCCCACCAAAGCACAGAAAGATTTTTCTCAAGCAATTACAGCAGGCAGTTTTTAAAAGCCAAGAATCAGACTTCCTGATGTTTTAGGATTACATGGGTCTTCTTAATAGCTAACCATTCCAGCTATAGCTGTAGTTAGAGAAATAGAATTGAGGCTGTACTGTAATTCACACTAACAGCACACACTAGAGGCCAGATTCTGTATAAGCACTTTACATTTATTAATCTCTCATGAAATGTTATGGGATATGTTCTATAATTATTCCTATTTTATGGGCGAGGCACCGAGAGTTTGAGAAATGTCTCCAGTCCACAGAATGGGCAACCGGTGTGGCCACAGCTGAAATCCAGGCACGGGAGGCCAGCGGCCACAGTGCTGACCAGTACACAGGCTGCCTCTCCCACCTGCAGCTCACACTGAGCAAACGCAGAAAGAGGCTAAGAATTGCCTGCACTTTGTGATGTGGCTCAACACTGAAGATGAAAAGTGTGATGCATCCAATACAAGAGCAGAGGACCTTCCCACGACCAGGAGACAAGACCAGACAAAGTGAGAAACAGCGAAGGAGCATTGCCTTCAGCCTCCCCTTGCTCAAGGCCCTGGTAAGGAAGGTGCTGGAAGCTAACACCCGAACCACACAGTGTCAATCAGAATGAGTTCCTTGCAATGTGAGTCCCAGAAGTTGCTATATAGACAACTGGTCTTGGGGTCAGCTTCGTTGGAGAAATAAGACATACACTCACTCACTCAGGGCGAGTCCCAGTGCAGATGGCGGAGACTCTGAGAAGTGCTAGAGTAGGGGAATTTGTTTAATCTAGCATTTGCTGAATTTATATGACCACTGAACATTCTTTGTGTACATGTATGACATCTATAAATGTCCCAAAGAACAAACTTTTCATGCATTTTGTATAATTCCAATGCGTCACTTAAATGCCTAGTAATATAATTTTCTTCCACAGCTCCTAATATGAAACCATTGCTTCTTAAGTTATCTGTTTTGGTTGTCTTTATACAATCTTAGTAAGAGCTCTTCCAAGGTAATTAAACTAGGAATGTGAAGCAGATGGATCTCTGGGGCCGGATGGACTGACCATTTGAGCCAGGTGAGCTTCCCTACGGAAAGGTGCTGCACAAGGCCACCTCCTGCGAGCGCCTAGCACATGAGTGCACCCTTACAATCGCGGCATCGAAGTGGCAGCATTAGAGTATGCTGATGCACTAAAGGGCTGAATCATGAGGAAAGGGTAAGAAGGGTATCAGAGCACAGATGAACAGCTGCTAACAGTAAAAGCGGCAAATTCAAAGGAACTGAAAGACTGAAGTTCTGGGTGTGGCCTGGATATCGCCAACAGGGAAGGACACATGGGGGGACACGACTGAGCTGGACATCGAAGGGTCTGGTGGGCGTGGGCAGTGGGGAAAGGGCGGTGGTGGAGGGTTTCAGACCAGCAGGGGCAGAGGGGCGGTGTGTGCAGAGCACTGGGGACAGAATCTGTGGCAGGGCAGGGGTGACACTGGGCCTGCACCGGGCTGATGGTGGTGAGGTCTGAGTGGAGAAGTGGGCTGGTTCATGAAAGACCTTGAAGACCGAGTGTGGCTTTAATTCAGCTGGTAACGGAACCGTTACAGGTTTCTGAACATGGTCAATGTGTGTATTGTTTGACATAGATCTGGTAAACTGCACTATAAAAATGGATTGGGAAGGAAAAAGCTAAAAAAGTAGAATTCCCTTATTAGAGAGCAGGAAGACACCCTGATAGACCATTCATTCTAATTTCATGCTTCCAAAAAGGCTGACTTTCAAATTACCAAAGTCAAAGTGATTGGTTTCATTTTTCAGAAATGTCCAGAGACATTAATTCTATAAGCAACTATAAATGTCCTGGCCTGTTGTTTAGCCACTGTTATGATCAGGAAGATGGGTGGCTTCTTTTCGTAGAAAATAACACATAATGTATATGTTAAGGGACTATGCCTTTGGGAAGCACACTCTGTCTCTACACACTCACATAATGCCTCTGACACAAGATGTGTGCGTGTTTTCCACACCAGGCAATTCCCCAACTCACCAAACTCCAGCTGTGTGTCCTACAATTTAATTCAATTCTGATACCATCTATCTGTAATTAGCCCTGATCCCACAGGTGATGGACTCAGTCTCCCAAGACTGTCCTCCTTTCAGATGCCAATTGCAAGTCCAGGCCTCTGGTCTGGCCCCCTAATTAACTGGGGTTCCCTCACCCCTCACCTCATGTTCAGCAATCTGTCAGGATGGCTCGGAGAACTCAGGGAAACACTTCACTTACGTTTGTTGTTATTATAAAGGACACCGCTAGGAATGACCAGAGGGAAGAGAAGCACTGGGCAAGGACGGGCTGGGCTCAGGTTCAAGTGCTCTCCGGGCGCACACCCTCCCAGCACACCCTCAGCTACCCGGCACTCAGCACCTCTTGTTGTTCCACACTTTTAGAGAGCTTTACCTCCAGCTTCTTCAAGGTCTGTGGGGAGCGCTGAAAGTTCCAGCCCTATAATCTCCCGGTCTTTCTGGTGGCCAGCCCCGGGAGGCTCTCAGGGGACCACCCTGAGCCGCCGCATAGCATGAGCTCAGGTGCTGTGGAAAGGGGCTCGCTATGAGTGACAAAAGACACTCCTATGACTCAGTTAATACCAGGGGTTTTAGGAGCTCTGTGCCAGAGACAAAGACCAAACATATTTCTCATTATACCACAACCACATATATACCTATGTCACATAAATGTGACTTGTTTAATCACAGCATATTTGGAAAACACAGAAAAATCTAAGGAAGAAAATGAATCATGCACAATTCCAGAGACAGTCATGCATGTTAGGGGTATTTCCCCCTACCAGCTGTGTGGGCGGGCCTGGGTGAGGTGGTGGCGGTGACAGCAGGCGTGGCAGGGCCCATTGGTGACCGCAGTGATGCTTGGCAGGATCCCCGGTGTCCCCCTGGGG